ATAAGGCGCCCTGGCAGCGCCTTACAAATATGCCCGCCTTAGGCGCTTAGGCGTCGCCTAGGCGCTAGAGCAGGTGGTGCTCGCCTTAGGTCGCCTGACCGCTTATAAACAATGTGTGTAATGACTTTGATTGGTTTTCATTGGTTAAACCAAGCAACGAGTTCATGCACTTGTTATGTAGTGTGAATGCAAAGATGTTGATTGGTCTTGTTTAGACTGCCACAAATGGAAAATTGGTCTATGTCAGGTCTTATTCCTTGAGAACTACAGTTAGTGAGTCAGGTATCGTTCTCACATGCCCATTGGTTAAGCTGGTCCAGTGGAAAACAAATAATCTGATCATATACACAGTGGAAAATGATGGTTTTGCATAAGTTATCTTGATTGCATTTCTAGATAGCCAAACCTTAACTTACTGCTAAGGTTCTTGATTGTGTCACTGCTGTCATTTCTCTTCCATGGAAATGAGCCTTTTTTAGCATTTCATTTTTGAACCTGCAGATAGGTATAACACCGCCCTCGTTTGCCACAGATGGCGCTTCCTTGCATGCCATCCTCGGTTGTGGTTGCGCGTTGAGAGGCCGCTCAGAGATGTAAAGGAGCCTGGAGTTTATCCAGATCTTGAGGCTGCTATTTCTGCTGCTAGGTTCGTTTTTTCCATCTCATTTTCCATTGCGGGACGAAGGATGTCCGGGATGACCTCTGCTTTGTTGAAGGCCTGGTGACACTATTCTAATTGCTGCCGGTGGCACCTATCTTGCATGTAATATCCAAATAAAGAAGCCCCTTTGCATTGTAAGTTTTGCCATCCATCTTCCTTGTTATCTCTGTAGAATTTTTCTCTGGTGAAATGTTTCCTGCATTATTCACCAATTGTATTGTTGGTGCAACTGTGTGCTTATGCTTGCCATTTTCTATTCCATCAGATTGGCGGGGGTGAGCTTCCTGATGACACTGTATTGACATGTTCCCGTGGCTCCGATAAGTATGCTCCTTTCTTCAGTTTTTATATTTCCCTGTGTTTTGTACTGTTTTTTATGGCTTCCTACTGTTGCTGCCAGTCATTATGTGTTACTCCCTCCTTCCCAAAATATAAGGTGCGATTGACTTTTTACGGTCTTTGATGCACGGCTTTGAGCACTAATATATATCAAAGTACATGGATTGAACATGTATAAATGGCATCGCCGTATTTGTCTTGCAAAATAATTTTATTTCATATGTATGTATACTAATTTTACAGACATGCAATACATGAACATCACAGTCAAAGTTGTGCAATGAAGACCAGAAAAGTCAAACCGCGCCTTATATTTTGGGAAGGAGGGAGTATCATTATATAAGTTCATTTTTAGAAACTGAGCTTCTCCTGCAATTGAAATTGGTCCCTTCAGTACACTTCACAAACCAGATTATGAAGCTTCCTGTAAATTACATTTATCCTGCGTGATGGCTAGGTTGCTCTATGCTAGCTTTTACAATGCTTCGTTTCACATAGCATTTTTTTCTCAAACCGCCTTTTTTATTTTATGTTTTTGGTAACAGTTAGTTGAAAGCACCTTTTTTGCATGTGCTGTGGTAGAAAGGAAAAGCTTTCGAGACACACCTGCCTTCCAGATGCTAGGGGAATATACTCCCTCCGTATCAAAATATAAGACGTTTTTTTTAATACAAAGGGATACAGAGGGAGTAGTTTATAACTCCTTTGTTTGTGAATGTTCATCAGTAAACTAAGAAAGTACGAGTCTAGAAATCGCTAGGTGTTTCCTATTTGTTTACCTTGCCATTCCCCACCTCGTCTCATGTCTTTGTGTACCAACCTATCTGCGCAGTGCACTGGAGTTCCTTTCCACCTGCAAGATCGCGAACCTCACCATCAAGGCTGAGCTCGGATGCTGCCTGCTCCATCGGAGCGGCAAGCTAACTATTCAGGAGTGCTTGCTCCAGTGCGAGCCAAACCCTCTGGACTACCTGTCCTTCCCGATAGTCAGCACGGCGATCGAATACAATCCATTATCGTCGTCGCTCAAGGAGCAGCAGGGGCACGGCGTGACGGTCGTCCGCACCCGGATCGAAGGCGGCGCCAAGGCCATCCGGACCAACGGGACCCTGGCGCTGCAGCGCGTGCGGGCCATCTACGCCCGCAGGTCCGTCTTCTTCTGGTTCGAGGTAGGGGAGAAGCTGGAACCCCTGTGAAACCAATAAGCTCTTGTATTCTGTAATCTCACTCAACCTAGCGTTGAGAGCAAACCCTTGTAGTATCATGTCTGTTCCATGCCTGTTGTAACACATGACAATGATAAATTTTTACTGCTGCTTATTGACATTTGAATCATCATGGAGCATGTGTTGCCCCTTGCAAAACGAACTGGATCTGAATTAGAAAGTAGTTTTTCATGCGTACCTTTGGCAAGTATCTATGAGCAATCATTAAAGTACCACGCTCCACTGTGAAAGTAGGCAGCGCTGTAGTAGTAGTACCGGGCGTACCAAACCTGGTTTTTTATTACTACTGTTATTATGTGAAAGTAAAGCAAGTCTGCGGCACCGAGTTAAGATGGTGGTTAACCACTCCCCAGTGTTAGCAAATGCGTGATTACTCTGTGGTTAACCACGCGCCGATCGGCACCGGAGGAGGGGGCCGTACGGTCACAGTAGGTGAAGTGCGCTGTACTTTTCTCCTTGTTTTTTACCACCACCTTTCGAGATGGATTTTGTGCTTGTTACTGCCTGCTCAAACGGAGTAAGAGTTTTGAGCCACCGAGGCAGAAAGAAAAGGCACCCAGGGTGGATCTCCACCATCCGGTATAGTGGTTCGTGTCATTGAATGGCTCAAGTTGTAGCCTGTTGGCAGGTAGCAATTCAAACAGGTTGCAACGGTAATCTCATCTCAGACACGCCGGACCAGTAATTTAATCGTGCACCAGTGCTCTGGTAAAATAACATTCTCTCGATAACAACCAAGTGTATAAACACCTAGGCCTTCACCAAACCTTGTTGGTGATTTCCGTGGAAGACAATTTCTTCTTCCTTGTTGGCGAGCTAGGAGCGTTCGAGTTCCGTTTCTCTTTAGTAAATGCTTGCTCTGCGTTTTTTCCTTTTTGGGGGGCAAAGACTAAAGACCAGACTTGCGCTGCCAAAGCTGGCTCCCTGCGTCCTCCTTCCTTTGGCAAGCTGCTGCGCCAAAGCTGACCGATTCCCACTACGCAATTAAAAAGAAGTTGAATCCTGAGGCCTCGCTTCTCTTTTTCGCCGGCTTGCCATCGACATGTCATCGCAGGGACAGGGCGAGGGGTTTACGACCACCATCTGACTAATCTAGGCAGGGCAGGGCAGGGCGAGAAAGCGAAGGGATGTTGGTGATCACGGGCATTGGTTTCTCCCCTCCCTCCTTTTCTGCGTCGTGTGTTTTTGTCACCTCCCACTTGACTTGTTCCAAACATTTCTTGACATATCAGGTCACCCTTTGACTACTCGAAAAAAACATCTTTTTTTCACCAACATATTATTTTAAATATTATTTATCTAGAAGACATTGAGGAAGAGAGAGAGAGAGAGAGAGTATCGAAATCCACGGTTTCTGACGACGGTGCTTTCTTTCGAATAAGATTACCATTCCGCATAATGGGGTCGAAGATGTTGTTCGGTGGTGTTTCTTTTTTGCGTGCGTGTTTTTGGTGTTCTTTCTTTGACCGGATTTACTTGCTCATCGGGCTGTTAAGGTTTTCGATCCGGTTTTTCTTATAAGCTAGATCAGTTTCTTTTTGAGATGCGACCACACTCATGCAAGGATTTCTAGATTTTAAGAAAAAAATGTATGAAAATCTACATATTAACATGTATTTCAAAATGTATCTACGAGCAGTAATTTTTCAAAGTACTTTTTCAATAAGTACTTTGTCTTGAACTTTCATCAAATTTACCGGCCTGATCTCCAACCAATCTTTTTTGGATGGGCCCCTGATCTCCATTTAATACCAGTACAGGCCAGATGGCCGGACCGGAGTAACTGTTTTTGACCGTTGATCCCTGCGTGATCCGGCCGGGGGACAGGGCCCTACCCACTCATCAGCGCACTATTACCAAATGAACAGAGATTTGCCCCGATAAAAACAGCCCCTTTCCCTTCCTTCCCTCCAAACCAAACCCCGAGGAAAACACGCCCACCCCTCCTTTCTTTCGTCAGAGAGAAAGACTGAAAGAGGCGACTCGGCCGAGAGAGAGAGAGGACAGAGACGGAGCCTCGCAAAGACTGCGGCTTTAATTCGAACGCGCTCGCCTCCGTCCTCCTCCCCCTCCCCATCTCGAGCCCTCCGCCACAGTACCAGCATCACGCCAAACCCCCATCCCCTATCTATCCGAGGGGAGGTCAAACCAGCCAGCCCCCCCTTCTTCTCCGGCCGGCCGCTCCGATCGCCGCCTCCCTCCATCCACGCCTCCCGAGGTAGCGTCGTTTCCCCTGTTTTTGTTTCTTGGATGCGTAGGGGGTTGGATTTGTGTCGGATTTTGAGGCGCGCGTCCGGGTTTCTGGCTCGGATGCGCGCGTGGGGTCGGGAATGCGGGTGCCTGGTGCGCCGGCGGCGGTTGCCTGTTAGGGTTTTCGGTTGGGGTTTGGGAGATTTTGTGGCTTCTTCGGAGTATTCGTTCATGTCTAGATGCGCGTTACAATAGTTCCCCGCCCGCTACGGTGCTAGGGCACTTGAGCTCGGGACACGGTCAATCGCTGCTAGATTATCCGGTTATCGCCGCGGGGGTTCGTACGGCTGATCTGATGATGGAGTTTCGTTGGTGTAAAGCTCAGCCCTGCAGCCTGCTAGTTTGTGTTTTCGAGTTAGGTAATGATGTTTTGGTTGCTCTGTTTATCTCTGCGTCTCCACTTCCAAGAGTCATGATTTCTAATCTGAAAAAGGAAGATAGACAAGATTCAGCAGGGGTGCTGTTGATTGGCAATGATTACAGCTCCTGCACGCTGCTGGCATCTCCTTACATAAGGTGGAAAGATGTTTTATGTGATGAACTCCATGCCCCTGCACTTCTTGTTTCAGTTGTTCATTGCAACTTTGTGCAGCAGCAGCAGCTGCTGCTCTTGTGAGAGTGCAATACAAGGTGTAGTGGAGGTTCATGTAAGTGCCACCCCCTTTCCCCTTTCCTGTTCCACCACTCCATCATTTCCCTTTGCTATCATAGTTCCTGCTCTTGCATCTCCGCTCTTCCCACTGAAGCGGTTACTAGTTATAGCTAGATTAGCTGACCAACCAACATGTCCTTGGTTTCCCTTGATATAGTTGGAGAAGTGGCGCTGATGTGGTTCTCAGCTGTCGGTGTGCACTGATTTTTCAACAAAATAATGTCGTACTGAGTACCGAATTTAATTTTGATTCAGTTACATGGATTGACACTGAAGAAAACAGTTGACTAGAAAGCTGGGCCAAACGTACAGTGAAGGGAACCTTCAATCTTTTGCTGAAAATGGTGAAAACAAGCGCCATGGCATCTATGTTTTTTGTTTAGCGTGTAAAGATGTAACCTAATAGCACTTGCTGGGTCAAGTATTACAAACTCTTTCTGAGATCCAAGCCCCTCTGCCCTCATGGTTAACTGACCAACCAACATTTTCTTACTAGTTTCCTTTGATATATCTGGAGAAGTGGCATTGATGTGGTCTTCAGCTGTCGCTGTGCAGTGTCCACTGATTTTTCAGCAAATCAAAGTTGTTCTGAGTACTTAACTAAATTGGATTCAGTTACATGGATTCACACTAAACAAAACAGTTGACTAGAAAGCGGAACCAAAAGTGTAGTAAAAGGCTGAAAACCTTCAGATCTTTTGCTGAAAAATGGCATATATGTTTTCTGTTTGGTGTGTAATGATGTAACCTAACACGACTTGCTGGGTCAAATATTACAAACTTTTCTGAGATCAAACCCATATGAGCTCATGATGTCTGCATCGTTAGTGCTCTCAGAACCTTTAAGTGCAGCCGAGTCATATTATGGTTGGCTTATCATGAAATTTACGTTTGTGCGTTCCTTAGAAAAGTGAGTTAATTTGATCTGGAGATGTTTTTTGTGGATAAAAGAAGTTCCTATCTTTTGAAATGATGAATAATATCTGTTTCAATTACTTCCAAGCCTAAAAAAATTCTCTTGATTTCTTTTTCCTCCATACAGGATTCTGCATCTATAGGTTTGGTCATGGCGTCAGCTGCCTATCTTGACGACATTGATGCTGAAGTTATCGACCCTCCAAAGATTGAGATGTTAGATGTCACAGAACTCGTCGGTGATCTTATCGAGCACTCACCGAAACCAAATGTCATAGTTTCTAGCAATGTGCGTGAGCTATTGGAATGCCCTGTGTGTTTGGTCGCCATGTATCCTCCAATTCATCAGGTATGCCTTCTTGCTGAACTAATTACATTTAACTATAGCATATCGGTTGCATTATACTAAGCCTTGTTCTAGGCTTTTGGCTTTCCATGTGTTTGCTGACATGTATGATCATATAAGAATATCCAGTTGCAAAAGAATATATAATTGCTGATTTCTTTCAAGGTAGACAGAGGTAAAATAGGGTTTTGGTTGGTGACCTTTTTCTATGAATCGTTTTCACCCTAATAGGTGACATCCTGATGCATCAGGCCCACCTGTAACTAGCTCCCTGCAAACATTTTCAACTTATACATTGCAACAGTCTTCTTTTTCATTTTCAATGTTATCCAGATTGTTCATTATCAAATGATTCTAGTAGGAGAGCTTGATATCTCATGATTATTTTGAATTTACACTGCATATTCTTAAGCTCAGAAGAATGTTTGATATGAATGTGTCTAGAGGTTCTTTTAACTATTCTGTCACATTTGTGCGTGCAGTGCTCCAATGGTCATACCATTTGTTCTGGATGCAAGCCAAGGGTTCATAATCGCTGTCCAACTTGCAGGAGTGAATTGGGTAACATAAGATGCCTTGCTCTAGAGAAGGTTGCTGCCTCTCTAGAGGTTCCATGCAAGTTCCAGAACTTTGGATGCGTGGGAATATATCCTTATTATTGCAAGCTGAAGCATGAATCACAGTGCCAATACAGACCCTACACTTGCCCATATGCGGGATCTGAATGCACTGTCACTGGTGACATTCCGTATCTAGTGAATCACTTGAAGGATGATCATAAGGTTGACATGCACAGTGGAAGCACCTTTAATCATCGCTATGTCAAATCAAATCCTCATGAAGTTGAGAATGCTACATGGATGCTTACGGTAATTATCAGCTACATCTGTATTTATGATCTGAAACACTACGCAGTAGATTAGTCCTCACATCCTCTTTCCAAGAGATCCAAGGTGTATCTTGGATAATTTTGATAACATGAGTTATGGTCTTATGGATTGCTGATTGTTTACCAAGTGTGTGCATACTTAACAACTCCATTAAGTAAGGTTACTGTTGACACTGCATGCTATTGTTATTCAGCTTCTGCTTGTGTTTTCCCTCTTCATGGAAGTGAGAGTTGTGGAACTAACTCTAGAATATCTGTCCAGGTTTTCAGCTGCTTTGGGCAGTACTTCTGCCTGCACTTCGAGGCGTTCCAGCTGGGCATGGCGCCGGTCTACATCGCCTTCCTGAGGTTCATGGGAGACGACGCCGAGGCCAAGAACTATACCTACAGCCTGGAGGTCGGAGGCATCAACCGTAAGATGACCTGGCAGGGCATTCCTCGGAGCATCAGGGATAGCCACAGGAAAGTGCGGGACAGCTACGACGGGCTCATCATCCAGCGCAACATGGCCCTGTGCTTCTCCGGCGGCGACAGGAAGGAGCTCAAGCTGCGGGTCACCGGGAGGATTTGGAAGGAGCAGTGAGTTAGTGAACTTTAGCTGCATGCTAGTGAAGGTGTGTCCGTTCGTTTCGTTCTGGCGATCCGAGATGAACGTATTGCGGGAGGACTTCATTAGGACTAGGGGTAATGGTGTGTAGACCGTGTTAGCTTCGTGGTAGTTGGAGATGTTTCCATGGATGGTTGTCATGCGGATTGAGGTGGTACTGATGTGGCAGAGCTGAAGGCAAATCTCCTGATTTGCTTTGAACAAGAGCTGGATGGCTGGCCACTGCGCCGCCGTTTTGGCGAGGTCTTGTTGGTGACTCTTGGACTGTAAATGATGTAGCCCCTCTCTAGTATGAGACTCGTATCTATCTATGTCAGACGTAGAAATGTTCTGAACTTCTGACGCTGGTATATGAATGAGACTCGTATCCATCAACGTCAGACCCAAAAATGTTCTGAATTTGAGATGGCCGTTTCTGATGCTCCCCTCTGTATATGACACTCGTATTTGCATCAGCCCCCCACCGATGTTCAGAATTCCTGGTGCAGATATTGTGTTGAGATGGCCGTTTCTGATGCCAGTTCTGCGGCTGCTTCCACTGGAATATGTCTTCTTCTTTTGGCATCAATCAGAAGATGTTTTCTCCTCTTTTTTTTTTGAGAAACCTCGTTGTGACTTTTGAGGGCAGCGGGTTCCCTCGGTTCATTAAGAAGAAGAGAGATGATCTAATTTATAAGGAAAAATGGACCCAAAAACCTCACATTCCCGGTTAATAAAAAAAATCAAATGAAAACATGGGAACAAAAAAAAATAGAAAACCATAAAAAAACACTAGAGCTTAGGGACAGGGACAAAACAACTACAACATCAAGGGGCATCATCTGAGTCAGACATCATAGCGTCAAGGCCCAGAGCAATTAGGCTTGGCTCACGTGCAACCAAACTGACCATCACTCGCCGAAGAGAGTTCATCAATGACTCTTGTGCCTCATCCTAGAAACATCATGGGTTATCATTATCATGTGAAAAACATCATGAAAGATCTATCTTTGACTTCTAGGCGATGCCCGCCAAAGTGCTCAATGTGATGATCACTTGCGGTGAGAGCGTTTTTTTTACATGTCCAGCTATGCTGTCATCTTTTGCTCAACATCCTCCACTTTGCTCACCTCTTGCAACTCACCAAAAGCCTCCAACAACCTATGCTCTGCGCGCTTGGCCGCCAGGATGTTGCACGCCTTGTTCTTCTTTTCCAGGCGCCCATCATCCTTCTCCCCGTGCAAAGGTGTCGGGTGTAAGGGCATATTTATCCCTTAGTAGTTTTGGTGATTGATGACAATACGTTTGCGGACTAATCGTGTGCACTAAGCGTTTCAGGTGATCTAATATAAGGGCACTATGCGATTGTTACCCCTCGAGGACTTCACTTTAGACGGATTATTTTCCTTAGTTTCTTTTCGGTGGAATTGAGTCATAGGGACAACCGTACTATCAAGAGGGGATCCGTTTCGGAAGAGTATGGGTGGAATCATCACGTTCACGTTCTCCTTGCACCCACGCTTTCTTCCTGCTTCGTTGGAGTTTCCGTGTTGTGCAAAACAAGGGGTGCCTTGTGCTAAGCGATAGTACCGCGGCCAGGGCGGTAGTACCGCTGGTACTACCGCCCCTGCTGTGGTCTCAATTTTTCGTGTCGGGTTTTCGTAAAGGACCACACAGGGGAGCGGTAGTAGGGACGACAGTAGGGCGTGGTAGTACCGCTTCTCGGCGGTAGTACCGCTCCTACTCCCGCTCTGACTGCCGCTCAGCTCGCTGCCCTCCCCTGTTTTCCAGCGGCTGTAGGAAGCGGCAGTACCGCCTATCGGCGGTAGTACCGCCCTCAGGGAAGTAGTACCGCCCTAGTGCGTGTACTTCTTCTCCCTCAGTCCTGGTTGCCCTTTTGCCTGCTTGCCACAGCGGTAGTACCGTTGTGGCAGCGGTACTACCACTCCAGCAACGGTAGTACCGCCCAGATGCGGGTTGCGGGCTGCATAACGGTTGGATGTGTCCCCCCACTATTTAAAGGGGTCTTTTTCTCCAAGAACACTTACCTCTTCCATCCCCAAACTCCATTTCTGCTCCAAACTCCATTTTCGCCCGATCTCTCTCCCTAGCCAATCAAACTTGTTGATTTTCTAGGGATTGGTTGAGAAGGCCCTGATCTACACTTCCACCAAGAGAAATTTGATTCCTCCCACTAATCCCTTGCGGATCTTGTTACTCTTGGGTGTTTGAGCACCCTAGACAGTTGAGGTCACCGCGGAGCCATATTCCATTGTGGTGGAGCTTTTGGTGTTGTTTGGAGCCTCCAATTAAGTTGTGGAGATTGCCCCAACCTTGTTTGTAAAGGTTCGGTTGCCGCCTCCAAGGGCACCAATAGTGGAATCACGACATCTCACATTGTGTGAGGGCGTGAGGAGAATACGATGGCCCTAGTGGCTTCTTAGGGAGCATTGTGCCTCCACACCGCTCCAACAGAGATGTACTTCCCCTCAAAGGGAAGGAACTTCGGTAACACATCCTCGTCTTCACCGGCTCCACTCTTGGTTATCTCGTACCTTTACTTGTGCAAGCTTATATTGTGTTGCATCTCTTGCTTGCTTGTGTGCTTGTTGTTATCGCATCATATAGGTTGCTCACCTAGTTGCATATCTAGACAACCTACTTTGATGCAAAGTTTAAATTGGTAAAGAAAAGCTAAAAATTGTTAGTTGCCTATTCACCCCCCTCTAGTCAACTATATCGATCCTTTCAATTGGTATCAGAGCCTCATCTCTTTATTAAGGACTTTGTCGTCCGAAGAGTATGGTTGACACCGTAGACGGTGGGGAGGAGCACTCCGGTGTGAATCCGGTCTCGTCTACGGCCGATGGGGGAACCGCAGTCTCTCGTGAGGAATTCAATGCGGCTTTGGACACATTGAAAACCTCTATGACGACCGAGGTTGAAAGCATGTTTAATAAATTCTTAGAAGGGCTCAAACTATCTACCGCGCCGATGAAAGTGGGTGATCCCACTAACAAGGTGACTGATGCTAACTCCAACAAGGGGGAAGCTACTAGTGAAAAGGCTCCTTCTTCTAGTGGTAAGAATGGACACGACATCTTTGCCCATGTGGAACCTCCACTTACTTATGGTGGACCAATTACTTCCACTCATTTGAATCATGTTGGTCCTCCCCCTAAGATTGTAAAAAATAAGGACTTTGATTCTTGGGTTTATTGCTTTAAGCGTCATTTGAACCATGTTAACACTAACACTACTGGAATCAGCTTCTTTGCCGTCCGCCATGGCGGACGACAAAGGCATACAAGGCGGACGACAAAGGTCTCTTTACCATCCGCCAACTGACGGCAACCCGGACCTGTTGCCGTCAGCTGGCGGACGGCAAAGATGAAACGATCTTTGCCGTCAGCCGGCTGACGGCAACGGTCCTGGACGGCACACGTGACAACGTCCGGCCGTTAGGGGGCTAATGGTGATCTTTGCCATCAGCTAGCGGACGACAAAGTAACCAAATAGGACAGCCCCAGGTTGAACAGGGAGCTACCACGTGGCATCTTTGCCGTCCGCTGGCTGATGGCAAAATGCTTTGTCGTCCGCAACAAAGATCCTGTATAGCCCCATTTGTTTTTGTTTTTTCTTAAATTCATTCAATTTGAACACACAAGTTTCAACACACAAATTTCAACACATAAATTTCACAAAAGACATATCCAACACACAAGTTTCATCATATATACACACATAACCAACATGTACATAGTTCCATCCATACATATTACAAAAGTTTCACATTGTTCATCCAACACCGTTATCCATCCATCCATATAACAAGTTCCATCCATGCAATTTCATCGATACAAAATAAAAGCAGAAAGGGAAAAGAAGCACTCCATCCATGCAAGCTTCCGTGAATTAAATGAGATCTACAAAATGGGAAACAAGAAAGTTAGAAGAAAAAGAAAAACATGAAGAAGAAGAAAGTGAAGAAGAAGAAGACTAGAATAAGAAGTAAGCATATACTTAGGTAAAATGGAGCTAACCTAGCTAATTATGCCATCTTTGAGTGAATTAAGCATATTATGCCATCTTGGTCATTTTGGAGCTAACCTAGGTAAACTAGGTCATTTTGGAGCTAACCTAGGTAAACTTGGTCATTTTGGAGCTAACCTAGGTAAACTAGGTCATTTTGGAGCTAACCTAGCTAAAATGGATCATATTGGAGCTAACCTAGGTAAACTAGGTCATTTTGGAGCTAACCTAGGTAAAGTTGGTCATTTTGGAGCTAACCTAGGTAAACTAGATCATTTTGGAGCTAACCTAGCTAAAATGGATCATATATGTCAGGACCCCGACTCAATGGCACACCGATCTATGATGTAACACCTCATATCACTTTGCGGCCTCACGCACGGTATTCCCACGGGTGTCACCTTATCAGGCCCGGGATCGTTTGTGCCTTTTGGCACACATATATGATAGTGTCGCTAGCATTCATATGATAAGGAGCCCGGTCTGACATAACTAGTCGTGAACCCCAAGTGGCACTAACTTACAGGGACATGCATACATGACCCAACAACGAATGTGTCGGTCATCAGCGAGTGAATCCGGGCTGTAGCAACTGGGCTAGCAGGACTCCGGTAAACTGGGCTGTAACAGGCTAACAGGACTCCGGTAGACACCGCGTGACATTTCCCCGAAGGGACAGACACAAGAATGAAGGACACATGCCGGCCAGCCTAAGTGTTCCGGAGCAGTAGCAAGCTACCATGGCTCAGTGGAAGCACTAGGAGACATTTCCCGGTAAGAGAGGCTACCAAGGATAAACAACTAGATAGTCAGATCCCACACATACCAAGCATTTCAATAACATACACACAATATGCTCGATATGTGCAAATACAACATGGCATCACAACATGACTCTACAACTCAAGTATTTTATTCAATAGGCTCCGAGGAGCGAGATATTACAAACATGGGTCTCATGACCC